ATGTTTTGTTGAACAGGAGCCTCTGCAAATACTGTAGTCAACAAGTTTCCTGCCAGTGGTGTTTAGGGAATAAATTTCAGAAACAGAAGTTTTAAAGTAAAGTTGTATTTGAATATAGTTCCTATTTATACTAATGAAAACAGCAGAAAGAAGTCTGTGATATTTAGGTGCCAGTTGAATTTTTGAGTTTCAATGAAAGTGCTTCAAACGGAGAGTAATTCACAAAAAATCTCTCAGCAACTCTGAATGAAACTAGTAAGCTGAAATTAATCAAACAAAGAATTCAGTACAAATGCTGCACCTACTTTGGCCAGGTGTTCTGCAGCTGTACTCCCAGGCTCGCAGTTTGTTTTCCAGATGCTTGAAATAAACTAAAATGACAGAATTAATTCGAAGCCAATTTTTTTGGATGTTTTATTGCAGGCGTTTCAGCCCAGCTCACCAACACACGGCTGCGTAGAAACACCTCAGTGGGAACACCCTTTTGGATGGCACCTGAGGTAGGCAAACGTTCCTTTCTAGGCTGTCTCCATTCATTGCAGTGCACGCTTGGTCACCGCTTCCACATAGTAGGAGAAGAGGTTATCTTTTCTTCCCTTGCCTATGGCTGTGTTTCTACCTTACATCTAGGCCCCCGTTCAGTAAAATAAATGTACTTTTAGAATATACAAAATGAATTTCTAATAATCGTCATTATTTTCTTCTGTGTAATGTTTCCGTAAAAGTACAGATAATCTGCAAATAACTGTGGGCCTCCTTGAAAATTATACGACTTTCCAATCAAATTCTGTATGTTTTGCTGTGCTTGTCTGTGCCTCTAAATACAGAAGGAGGAATTTCTACACTCCTGTCTTGCTATAGGAGTCTACAAAAACCCTGACTCAGCTATGTGTTCTTTAACCTTAATCATCGAGTGGGGATCTACACACTCAGACTAGCCTAGTTTAAAAAAAGAGAAAAATGATCTACAGGCAGCCTAGCCAAGTATCTTAGACCATATTTTTGCATACTACTCCCCAGACATAACCCTTTTCCTTCTATTTCATGAAGCTCTAGAAAGTTTTAACACCCTGTTAAACAAAAGTCCCATATATACTTTCCCTAAATTTGGGCTGAAAGATGTTAATCTTTGCCCTCCTTGCTTTAAGAAACAAAAAATACTTTTCTAAGGTACAGATTATGAAATTAAAAAATAGGGAATGAAAAGGGAGTGGTCTGTTTATTAAGTTGTTAAGCCTTCATAACAGTAGTAGCCTCATTTTTGTTGAAGGCCATTAGACTTACTTGAATTTTGAGGAATTTGGGGTTGAATTTGCATCTGTTACAAATACACACAGGTCTATTTCTGTACGTAAAACGTTTAAAAGTATCGTGCAAACATTTCTGATCAAACATTTCATACTTTTTATACACCTACTTCTGTTGCCAAGGAAGGCTGATTGTAGCTGAGCAGAGAAAAGAAGCTGCTGTAATGGATCCAAAATTGATCTTTCACAGTCTCACAAAGAATGGTTGTTATCTCCATAACAAACAGTTTACGTCACAAAGGAGACACAAGATACCTTAGAAACCACTGTGCCAGCATTATTTATGGAATCACCTTGGTTGGAGACATTCTGAAACCTTTATAAAATACTCCTCTAGACAATAATGGACATATTACAAAACATTTTATTGAACTTGGATTATTAGAAGTTATTTTTATGGTACTGTTTTGCTTGAATAATTACTATCAAAGGCAGTAATCATATCGAATTTTTTTCCCCATCATGCTTGAAAATATTCATTCTCAAGGTAAAAAGCCAAAGAAATAAGCAGAGATTTTGATCTGAAAAATTTTGAGCTGAAAATACAACACACATGTAACCAAGGTATGTTATGTGGATAGCACATCAAAACCGGAGCAGAAGCAGCTTCCTGAATGCTTCCTGTTCTGAAAAGATTTGTGAAAATAACCAACCCAATACCATAAGCATAGTAGCTCATATCACATTTGCATGCCTGTGTGAGCCACGCTGATCAGGCTTCATAGATGTACCAATCTGCAAAACAGCTGTAAGATGCTCAGATATTGGTTATGCTGTTGTTGAAATGGCTTTTAAATGACAAGTTGTGTAACACTCATGCTCAAGTCACTACAGTTGCTTTCTTTGTGTTCATACGAATGGCGTATTTCAGCCGATGTGCGAGGTGCAGTTTACCTTCTGGGGAAGTCTTTCTGGTATTTTTAAAATGTGCAACCAAATTTTTATGTGAAATTTAAAGATTAGGACTGCAATAAGCTGAAAAACTCGGCTTAGGTAACAGCTTATTAGGAACAGTGTTTTCTAGATGAAAACTGAGAAAAGATCAGTAAAAACTAGATCCCACTGATTTCGTGGTTTCTGTGAGAAACCACAGATCTTACTGTGGCAAGATCAGTAAAAACTAGAAAAGCACTTAACACTTGCAAAGTCTTGCTGCCTAAAGGTTTTGACATAGGATAGAATCTATGTCTAACCCAAAAATACCATAAAATAACTGGACAGGAAGGAAATGTTAGAGGAATAGAAAGCATGAAGACTAGGAATTTTTTTTTTTTTTTAAGTTGGACTTGTGTGTGAAACATAGGAGCCTCAGTCAATGAATAAGACAATCATGGGACCTCATCTTATCTACGGGTGAGAAAGATGGAGAGAGGGGATGAAAAAGCTTGCCTTGGAGAAAGATACTACAGGATTGTTTCACAAAAATGAACCTTGTGAAATGAAGCTGACGGAATATTTTTTAGGGTAAACCCTAGGAAGATAAAAACCTGGAGAAGAATGATGCAAGATTATTGAAGTTGACCAGTAGGAGTAACTGTATTAAGCAGGGAACAAATATGCTAGAAACTGGAATCACTAGATCAGCCTGGATCAGGAACAGTCTGTATAATGAGGAAAACCATCATATGTTAAGATGAAGTTTGCAAAATGTATCCAAGGGATTTTATGGCATGGTACTTGCAATAGCAAAGTTCATAGGAAAATAGCAGTGACTGAATGTGGCAGAATGTGTTCTGTTCAGCTCAGTGTTCTCACTTGCAGTGTGAAAAGCAGCAGCTTAACAGTTTTGAGTGACTCAAACATCTTAGAGGGCTCTTTTTTTCTGATGACTGTGAGGCTTGTTTAGCAGCAACAGGACAAATCAAAATTGTCTGTGAGCATTTGTTTAGAGCTGAGCACATGATTAACAAATTTTTTTCTGAAAAATAAAAACACAGGGAAAAACTAGGCTGTGTGGAAGCAACAGAGGAACTTTGCAAGGATGAGTCAGTTTGAGGGCATCTTTAGACTCACTGAAAAATCAATCATTGCTGTTTAACCTAATCAGTATTGTCTCACACTTACAAACATAGACATGCAGAAACTAGAACACTGAATACAGGCATGCCAAAAAAAAGATAAATAAGGCAGGATAGTTTAAGTACGGTGGATGTTTAAAGCTGCTGGTTGCCAAACCCTTAAGTTACCTAAAATCTGCTTCTATTATGCTGAAATAATTTGTGTTAAATGCTAGCAGGAGGAATCAGATTTGAAACTTTTGAACGGAACTGCCTTTAAATCTCTAGTTCTAAACCTTTCAACCTCCAGTGCAGAACTGAACAAAATCTAGTTCAAAAAGAATTGTAGTTTTCCTTTTTCCCAAATATAATTATATGATCATGATCTAGCTTGAAACTTGACTCTTGAAACAAGCAGAGTTAGAATCTGTATATGTTTTCTTTGCCCCAAATCTAGTTTTAAGAACAGAAATAAAAAAAAAGATACTTGACGTCAGAAAGAACTGGAGAGATGCTGAAGGCAATTTAAACCCACAGGGAGTGTGATGTTGTATTTTACTGGTAACTGCTAAAAAATTACAATGGTGCATGCATACTTGTGTTTTAAAAGGAACATAATTAAAACATAATTGATCCTTTGAAGAATTATGTGTTGAAACATGACACATGACAGCAGGAAAGGCTGAGAACATTGGTAAAAGTATCATATAAGTTCTGTAATAATGAGTTAACCAGAAGTAAAATCTTGGCTCTGTTTTGCTATTGATTTCAGATGTCACAGTATTTAAAGTTGTGTGAACTCCATATTTGGGATATTTGATACCATCCTGCCAAGATGCAGTAATGATCAGTAAGACTGCCCCAGAGACAACAGTTTTTTCTTTCCCCCTGCTGAATCAAGGCATATTTCCTGGGATAAAATTCAGTACATCTGAGCATCAGAATAAATTTCTGAAGTGTTAGAACAATAGGTGACTAGTTTAAATTGCCTTTTCAATGCTGCTTTTTATTTTTTTTAACTTTAAATCTGTGCCATAAATCTAATCCTGAAACAATAATATTTGCATTGTTCCAGTACAAAGCTGTGTCTCTGCATAATCTAAAGAAAAATCAACCAAACTGGTAAAAAAAAGCACCCCAAAAAGTCATTTACATTAGTGTAGTTGAAAAATATATAAAGCGAAAAATCGAATTTTGCAAAGACTAAGAGCAGCTTTTCCACTGAAGTCAATATTCATTACAGTAAGGGCTATATTCAGAATTTGGTCAAAAAAAGTCTTCCTTTCGGTAGATTAGGGCTGATTTCTCTTATTTACCTCTCTATTGTAGGAGACATGAAAAATTTACAAAAAATCAATTTAATAGTAAATACATTTCATGTGTTGTTAAATACTGAGTTGAAAATCAGCATACAAAACATAACCCCATCACTAACCTGGGCTTAGGTTTTTAATTAACTCTAAACAAGTATGGTGATACATTCCCCTGAAACTATTGAATATATTTTCATTTTATCACACTTCAACCTAGCTTATTTGCCAGCCCTTTGCTTACGTCATGGGACTCAAGGTCAGCATCCTGTTAATAGCTCTAGGTCTCTTCACTTTAATTCCTTATTAGCTAAAATTAGCTCTTCTGATATGCACATTTTCACTACACTTTTAAATGCCAACTAAGCATGGAATTTTGTAAATGCCGATTTATAATGAACTGTAGAAATCTACTGCTTAGTATAAATAGGATATAGATTTCAAGAGTGTATATACACTTATTTTTTTGCCTGAAAGCTATTTGAAAACAGTTGTACAGTGAAACAGTATGCATATTTTGTGATAAAGAAGCATAAGGAACTATGTATCTTCTCTAATAACGAAAAATTTGAAAATATTTCCTTATAACTTCTTCCATGAAGGTGTAATAACTATTTTCTAACAGCTGATGATAACATAGATTACTGAATTAGCTCTTACTACAGGGTTTTTTTGATCTCATGAATTACAGTAAATGAGATAAGACTGAAAACATAATTTACAAAAAAATAACTAATTGTTCTTAGGAAGAAACATCACAGATAGCAATGGAGAAAACTTATGCTGCTTTTACAGAATTTGTGTTTATCTGGCATCAGATAAATAATTAATAGTGAAATACTTGAAAATTCCACACATTCAGTGGGTAAAAATAATAAATGCTATA